AGGCTCGTCTGTTGCGCAGGCAGGCCTCGTGAGGTCTGCCGGAGTGGAAAAGGGAGGCCGGTTCGTTGAAAATGGGCTCGGAGCCCAACAAGGACGCGGCCGAGGGCGCGAAACAGTTGACTCGGCTGGTCGCCTCCAGCCCCACGGGCTCTCTGTTCATGCAGAATCTGCCGGGCAGGTTGATCGGGACAATGTAGGCGGCCGTCTGGTCCGGACACTTTGAAGAGGTCATGCTAATCGGCGTCGGCGTCAACGTCGGCGTCGGCGTTGCAGTATGCCCGAACGAGGCGACCTCGGGCGAGTACAGCGGCTCGAGAGAAGAAACGCTAGAGTCTTCGTGAAATGAGGAGAAGCCGAGGCTCGGCTCGAGAAGAGGTTCACCGAAACAGTTGATCCCACGTCGGGGCAGGTGACAGGCCAGATTTTGGGCAAACACTCTGACCAGTTGGCTTGAGGTGGAACGAAGAAGGTCTTCGTCTGTTTAGGCATTGGAAGGGAACAGGATTGGGAGAGTGTGGATGAAATATTGCCTCAATTATCGCCTATTCACTTTACACCAACAAAGATGAGTCGCATTTTTATGTATAAGTTGGTTTGCAGACTACCAGCAGACTTGATATAAGAACTATATTCACCCCAATTCCCCCCAAATCATATGACTAGACTTTACGTTCTCAGCAAACTCCAAACAGCCTTACTATCTTCAAGGTGAACTCATCCGGGATCGACGTGTTGAGACTATCTGCTTCACCAGTGCAACCCGGGTTCGAGTCCCAGTCCACTCTGGACGGGATCACTTTTTGAGAAGCAAGGTTATGGGAAACTCAATGGAATCGTGAGGGCTACTCATCGGATTACGGTAAATTTAATACTCTTTAACAAAATATTTTATGCAGGATCTATTGATGGTAAAGCTAGAATGACTTGTTAAGTTCACCTCTTTGCCTCTATGTAGGTGTGAGGATGTGTGCGTTCAGACACAGAATACAATTGATAGATTTTATTAATTAGGGCAAAGATTTGATGACAATTATTAACTCATAAGAGCGCAACCTTATGATTGTACATATTAGGCACATCAGATTGGGCTAGCATCAAAACGATAATAAAAAATTCGACTTTTGTATTACTATTATTATTCTCCTTTCCCATTTAGTTATGTGATATGGGAAGGCCTTACGTAAAATTCACATATTTCCTCTGACCGAAATGCACTCGTGGCAGTGTGACTGAATGGTTAACATGTCGACAATATATGCTGCATTACAACAATCTGTGTTCGAGTCCCACCGAGGGTACTGATGAGACCAGTTGCAGCGAAGTCCATTCTAGCCTGGATGATAATAGCTTTTGGAAAAGCAAAGAGGTGTGAAATGAAATGGAAAAATGAGACCTACTCATCTGATTGTGGGAAAGTTCAACAGCTACTCTCTCATCACTCATTTTAGGTTGAATAAGATGAATACGGCCCTCATAGCAAATCTACTGGCAGTCTCTAAAACCCACTTATAAAACGAAAAATATGATTAAATATTGACTAAACTGCACCTCTTTGAAGGCAAACTTGAGGGAAATTCATTGGCACCGCGAGGCCTACTTACATCATTATAGGGGCAACTCCACTGCCCTTCCTTAAATCACCCCAAAAGTTTTGAGATAATTTATTATTCTGTAATTACTTAAGTTTTTGACAACTATTTTCATTGACTATTCGTCATTTATACGCAGACAGATTCGTACAAAAGGTTAAAAGTGAAGTGACCAAAGCAGATTAAATCTGATGAAATTCAAGTTCCGTGAACAAATGCACTTGGTCTGATCCGGTTTCTCGGATCGTTGGTAGAATGGCTCCCAAATCTGATGATGTCTTTCAGATGTCAGAATGGTCGAATTCATTTGAGAGTTGGTATCAGAACCGATGAAGTCTGTCTTGAAGAGTGGCGTTGTTTCGCTTGTTGTCTCACAGCGAAATCAGTTGGCGTCGACATCTTCTCCTTACACACTCGTAAAAAACGAGAACCAACTCAACGAAAATGTACGCTTTGTAGCTACGACAACTGCGGACAGGCATTGCATTGAAATGTCTTCATGCCAATGTGGGACCTTCTGACCAAAAGTGTGCCGATGCATGGCACGGCGTTGACGAAGACTGAGTCCGAGCAATTCATGAACGCTGATGTCGGCCAATCTAGTGCCAACCGACCGGACAAGAGGTGGGATTCGCATACAGAAACTTTGTTTGCCCACTTGCGGCGTTTTCCCGATTGGACGAGATGGAGTTGGCCGGTCCGGTCGGTCTACGGGCGCCCGAGACTTTCGACCTTGCGACTCTGGCGTCTCGAGATCGCCAACTACTTACCCAAACCGGGAGTGCAGACGGAGAACGAGCCCGGCAACTTCATCGACGGCGACGGCGACGG